TTTTAATGCCGCGACCCCCAACCGGTCGTAAGTTGAGGACTACTCAACCGGTCGTAAGTCGAGGACTACTCAACTGGTGCAGCACCGTTTGCAGACTGGGACTTTTGGCGGGCTCAGCAGGGCAGAGACAGCCTGAACAATTCCTATTGGCTTTGGAAAGCCAATAGAATTAGACTGTATTCAAGAGAGTCTATTCGATTGGCTTTCAAAAGCCAATAGAATAAAAGGGAGTAGCACAGCTAAGGAAAAGGGGGGAAAAATGGCGGACTGCGTTGTTTGGCGACCCCCATGAAATGGTCGTTCGACCCCAAATGGGGTCCCGACCCACAGGTTGAGAACCACTGAAGTAGACTAAGATCCTAATCCTGATCCTAAACTGTGTACCTACATTGCCTGTTATTTCCCCTGGTTCACATTTATGGCAGCATCCTAACTTGCCTCCTGTTATTAAATAATGGTTTTGCATTTGCTGCATTTGCACAAGATGGTAAGCTATTAAAAAATAAGCAGTGTGCTGAACACTATCCTGGCTCCTCCTCTCTAAATTTGGAAGAAGCAGAATACTTTAGTATTGATGCTTTTCAATTTTGGTGTTTGGAGAAGATTCCTGACAGCCAAGAAAACAAATGAACAAATCAATCCAGACTTCCTACTGGAGGCACAAATAAGCAGGCCCAAATTATCCTACTTTGGACACATTACGCAAAGGCCTGTTTCTCTGGAGAAGCTTCTAAAACTGGTAAAGATAAGAAGAAGAGAATGAGCAGCAGCAGGGTCTATGGACTCAGTTACAGTGGCAATGAGTGCACCATTGGAAGATCTGAAAGACCAGGATGGGAATAGATCATGGTAGAGAAAATCTATCTATATGGTCACTAAAACCTGGCAACGATTTGATGGCACATCATCAACCCCAATCCTCCTTTTAGTGGACATAATTGATAAAGCCAGAAAGCCTCAATCAAAAACTCTGTTTTATTATTCTTAGCAAAACCCAGCATCAGTAATTACAAGTATGCCAAAAGTGTCCTCGTGGTTTGCCGAAGCATGATTATGTCTTAAGCGATGATTGATTAAATGAAACCATGTCATTTAAATATGTGGACCCCACAGGAGACAACAAAGCAAAATCATGAAACCATAAACTGAGGATGGCTTGTATACTTCACTCTGTCTACCTTCAGGCCACTGGCAGTCAGGATCATTGTTCTACCTCAAAAGGATGTTGCATCCTGGAGAGCAACATAAAATTATGAAGCCATGATTCTAAGATTTAAACAGATGGGAAACAAACAGATAATGACTCCTGCATCAAGACTCACCTGTTTTAATGTGGAAGATTAAATTATGATGTACAGGAGGATCTCAATTTTGACTAGAAAAGATAAAAAAATAAATAAAAATGTTCCATGTTAGGCTTGAAAACAGAGGAGGCTATGGTAGGAAGGACAGTGCCTGAAAGCTGCTCTGTTCAGACAGAGACTAGTACTCTGGACCTCTCTTAAGCAAAGCCTTAACTTTTCCTCCTGGTGTTTTAGTTCTTTGCACCTGTTGCAAGCCAAGGAGCCATTTACAGGACAGAAGCAAATCAAGTCACACAGCAATGAAGAAAACAAGCCTGGATCTTGTGGCATGCAATAGTCTCAGACACAAGGAAGTGAAAAAAAGCAGGTCTACTGAATATTCTTTAATATGCACCTCAATCACTCTTCTAGCTGCTCCTACTTTTTAAATATATTTTTATGAGGGTTCCTTCATTCTTGAGCTACACATAAATATCTGCTTAGGGATGCATGAGCCGGTACGCCAACCCAACTAAACAAAAAATAAACTCCAGTCTGAATATAGGTAAACCCTCCAGTTTTGGAGTTAGCAGCTTGTGGATTGGAAACAGTGGAGGACACAGAATGACAGTTCTCTCCATTGAGGCAATAAAAATACATTAGTGTATTTGGAAGAGAAGAACATTCAAAGTGATTATTCCCAAGATGTGAAAAGAACTTGTTCATCCAGAAAGTTTTGACTTTGCTCGATGGTTGCTGAAAAGAGGAGTAGGCTCGGTCTTGCTTTTTGTTCCTCAAGAAAATGATGCATCACAAGATAACATAAGCTTGCAGCTTTCCTCTTAAAGCATTCTAATTCCTATGGTTTCTTCTCCCAGTGAAATTAAAAGTGATCACATGGTTGGTTCAACTTTCTGTCCCTCTAGGCAACTGGAGAAGCTAAGCGACAAGACAAAAGAGCACGAACAAGCTTACTGACAGATGGGCTCACATGTTATTAAAGCAGCCGAAAAGTAGATATAGAAGAATGGATACACAGCAATAAGCTTATGCAGATGTAAGTCCAACAGTGACTTGTTCCCAGAAAAATGAATATAAGCATAGCATTGGAGTGTTGGAATGGAAAGATGCAAATGGTGTGTAGTGAATTGGCACAGTTTAACTTGATGAGATTGATTAGTCACAATTACTGAATTTATGACCATCCATGCTCCTAAGATGTCACTATGAGAACGTTTAAAAACTTTTGCTTTCATTTGTGGGTTAACCCCCACTTGCCATGTCATAACAGCTTAGAAAAGCAATTTCAATTAAAATGCATTGGACTATGTCAACATCACATAATAGTTTACAAAATTATGATTCTATAGTTAGAGTCAGAAGTGTTAAGCTGGCAATGTAGCTAACATTCTTGCAATAGAAATTAAGGCATCTGAAGTTACATGTAGAGCTAGCAGCTTGAAGATCTTAGTTCAACTTAGCTGGTTATGGGTTGATTTTTTATTTCTAAATCAAGCAGGGATGGGTCATAGAATTTTTCAGATATCTTCAAATATCTTCATTCGACAATTACAACTATTGGAAAATATACTTTAAAATATTCCATTAGTCTAACATCCTTAAAAAGTTATCAAAAGTTAATCACGTCAAACAACACCAACATTAAAAAAAAACCCAGAACCAAACTATTCACTTTCTCTTCATTCTCCTGATTGTCAAGGTGAGAAAATGAAGAAAAGAGAAACGAATAGGAAATATATACTGTACATGGATAAAAATCACAAGGTCTGGGGAGACAAGTCACGGTATTAGCCCAACAAGTAGACCAGATTAAGAAACCGATGTCATGTAGGACAGGATTATTTTTATTGCAACAACTATAATATGAGAATCTTGCAAATCTCAATGTGCTTCTCCTCCTCCCATTTATCTCCATGTGAAACTAGGAAGAGTTTGTCCAAGGTGATTTTTCAAGTTATTTTCTTGTCTTGTACTGAAGCCCCTCTTATTTGATTGCTACCTTGGTAGCAATTCTTCCTCCTGTTCTTCAATGCCATTCCCTATGCCCTTTACACCAGACTTAACTTAGTTTTCTTCATTAAGACTTTATTACTGCATTTAATTTTTTTCAAAGAATGATCAGATGACTATTCACTGTTGACCAATAGGTAATTCTTTCAAAAAGTATGAGAAAGTAAAGTTCCCATGTTGGATTTGTCCAAGTGAGCAAATACATACAAGGACATGTAAAAAGAAATAAATGCATATAAAAGGAACTTCCATCATTCCTCTCTATAATGTATGTCAGAGGTTCCCAACCTTTTGGGCACCAGGGACTGGTGCCATAGAGAAAGGTATTCCATGGACCAGAAGGGGTGTGGTTTTGAATACTGCCTGCATCCTGAGGATGGAGCTTTGCTTGTTTGTGCGGCCTGCTTGTTGGCATGCTACAGACCGATGCTGGTCCACGGACCAGGGGTTGGGAACCCCTGATGTATGTGACCTTCTCTTCTCATCTGCTACCATGTGACATGTTTCTCAAGATATTGATACCCCAGAGAAAGAATAAGATGCCAAAAAAACATGATTTTTTTTTCCCTCATGGAGTAAAATATTCTAAGCAAGTTCTTAAAAGCAGGAGTCATCCACGTTTAGATATAACACAGTATTTAAACACACACACACAACTTTAAGAAGATTTAGCTTAATAGTTACAGGTGTAGGAGATGACCAGGCTGAGCCCGAGGAAGGGATCAAGTGTGTTATCAGTCTAAGAGATCTAATTCTTATCTACCACCAATTTGCTTTGACCATTAGTACTTCAGATTCTTATAGAGAGGATGCAATAAACCTGTATTTATCTGAACCACCTTGATTCCTGATTTCCTGTGTTTGACAGCAGGGTTGTTAATATGGTATTCAGAAGACATATAAGAGTTGAAGATGAATGTGTTGTTAAATTATATACCACCAATTTAGAATCCATTAAAGTGAAGAACTTTAGATTTCTCATGTTGCAAAAAAAATAAATGTTTTACTTCAGTAGAAAAAGCCCACTGTGCCTGATTTAAAACCTTGGACTGAAGTTATGTGTTCACTTATTGTCTATATGAAAATGCTGTGACATCACAACACAAATTTTTCACTTTAACAAAATTCAACTTTGACAAAATGTTAGCTTGCTGAAGATAACCCCGTATATGAACTGGTTCATGATTATCGTTGTTTGATTTAATCAAGGATTAATTTGCTATTTAGGATCTGATATTTTTGTTTCATATAGAGCTATTTGAAAATGTATTACTTTGGATGGTCTATTTTTTTCTGGGCATTAAAAAAAATCTTGTATTGCTTAATAGAAGATTTTTCTTCATTTTGGTCATATATTAGAAACAGAGAAAAGAAATGTGTGTTAAACTTACCACCTTAATATTGATTCTCCTTGAGATTCTTGAAAAGTAATTTCTTAGGCTTGTATGAGGCCAAATTTTCTAATGAGCAGTGCTGTGCACACATGAAATTATCTTTAAACTGGATATATTCTTATACTGCAGGGCAGAAAATACGCCAAATTAATCATGTGCTTCTTAATTAGAAAATATGTTGCGACCCAATAACAAACCTTTTTTCTGACCCAGTTATGTAAGCAAATGGAGGTTTCCAGAGAATAATGTGTCAACATTATTACATTAAAAAAAAGGGAAATCAGACACTTACTGAGTGTAAGCTTTCATTTTCACGAAGACAAGCAGTTTGAAGTTCTGATTTCAGGGTTGCAATGTGATGCCGATGGGATGTTATTTCTCGTTCTAATGCAGAGACTCTGGAGCATGCAAACTGATAGACATCTATGAAACCTATAATCATCGCCTTAAAGGAAAAGCAAAAGGAACGATTATACTTCTGTATAAAAGATGTGCCATCTCTGCTGAGTTATGTTTCTGAAAATGAACTCTGTGTGTGTGTGTCTGTGTGTATAAACATATGTACATGCACAAAACCTTAAATGCTGTCCCAAAGAGAAAATCATTATTTTAAAATAGTGATTTTAAATACCGTATGCCTTTTTTGTATGCCAAAATTACAAAGGGTATTCTGTCATTCTGTTGTTTAAATAAACACTGCATTTTGATTTGTACATAAAGCTTTATTGGCTCTATTTAAACTCACCCCTCAGTTAATTTTATTCAGCCAAGCTGCGAATACCATCGGAGGCTAAGTATGAACATCTGAAAATGAATGGAGTTGCTAATTCTCCCACCTCACATTTAAAAGGAATTAGATTTAATTTGGCATGGAACCTAAAGAAAGTAGCAGACCTTTGAAAATAAATAATCTGATTACAATATAGCTGGGAAAATAATTCTCTTCAGATATACAGAAGAAGAATGTCTCAGCAGTGTAATATTGATCCGACTGATAATAAAGTTAACAGCACAATTGAGTATAAATGATCTGGCAGTGTTGGTAACTTGATATCTGACCCAAATAGTATAACAGTGCTGGGATTACTGGAGTTCTTTACAACTGGTTAATCATTTTTTTTTAGGTTATATCTTTCTTCCAAAGTGATCTGCACTGATTTCTCAAATGTAAGAACAGCATTAAGGCTGATAAAAAAATAAAAAATAAAAACCCTCTTCACTGAATAAGTGAAGATTGTTAGCCGTATTTTCTCAAATAAAGAAACTCAGGGTTTGAGAATGATCGGGCTGGAAAACATAAATATTCCTGTTTAAGATACCAAGTTCATCCATAGGTATTGAAACAGTTTTAACACCCAAAATTTAACTCGTGTGTGGACATTTTTCTTTAAAAAAAAAAAAGAAGAGGAAGAATATTTCTGCAGAAGTGCATCAGCAGATTGCACTGTTTATGTATTTCTGCCACTATTCGCTTCTCCAAGTTCTTTTGTGCCCAATTACAGGTAGTCTTCGACTTACGAGCACAATTGAGCCCAACATTTCTGTTGCTAAGCGAAACATTTGTTAAGTAAATTTTGCCCAATTTTATGACCTTTCTTACCACGGTTGTTAAGTGAATCATTGTGATTGTTAAGTTAGTAACATGGTTGTTAAGTGAATCTGGACTCCTCACAGACTTTGCTTGTCAAAAGGTTGCAAAAGGGGATCACATGACCCTGGGACACTGCAACCGTCATAAATATGAACCAGTTGTCAAACATCCAAATTTTGATCATGTGACCATGGGGATGCTGCAATGGTTGTAAGTGTGAAAGATTATCAAAGGTCACTAAACAAACAGTCACTAAAAGAACTGTGGTTACGTTGAGGACTACCTGTATAGCCAAAATACCAAATGTGTTATTCTTGCTAAAGATGAAATGAAAGCATCTGGCACAGACATCATGTTTAATAGATTCTGCCATTGCTACTAAAAGTAAATAGAACTAACAGTTTTCACACATGATATCAATTAGTGTGCACTTCAAATGCATCATTTGTGCATGATGTCAATGCATGAGCATTGTGGCAATGCATGAGCATTTCGGTAAATCGGTGAAAAAAAACTTGCTATATTGTTGACTATACAGTAGTTGACTACTGCAGGGGTCCCAAACCTGTGGGCCACGGCCCACTACTGGTCCGTGGCCTATTTGCAACTGGGCCACATGAGTAGCTGCCTGGTGGGCGCTCACAATCTCACTCATGTGATGTCTTGGGCACTCATAGCCTCACTCGAATGAGTGCTCGGAGCCTCACTTCTGTGAGCACTTGGGGCCTCACTTGCACAAGCGCTCAGGGTCTCACTCGCGTGAGCATCGCAGGTGCTCATGGTGCCACTCGCACAAGTGTCGTGAGCACTCCCGGCCCTACTCGGCAAGTGTCGCGGGTGCTCACATCCCCACTTGTGCAACAAGTGTTCATGTGGGCGCACACATGCCTGCCCCACCCACAAAACCATCCCCTCTTCCCCCCCTCTGCTCCCTCCAGGCCACCAACCTGGAAAGATTGGGGAATTCTGGACTACTATATAGTCAACAATACAGCAATTTTTTTTTCACCAATTTACCAAAATGTTCATGGAAAGCATCTACCAAAAGAACAAGAAATAATTTAAAATACTTTATCTCAAGGTTTAAGTATATTCATGTATCATGGAAAAATAAATAAACATTTGCTATGTTTCTTTTTTTCTTTCTCTAAGAGGTGAATCTTTCTTTTTTACACATACAAGGTTAAAATTGGTGTTTTACACTGCAAACAGCAAAAAGTTATACAAAAGCATAAAGCACTAAGCGTAACACCTTAATGCAATAATAATAAAAAACCCTATAGCTATTATGAATCTTGTAATAATCCAGTTTAACCTCCCAAGTGAAATTTCAACAGGGCTATATACATTTTAATTTGGACAAGTTCTTTGAGGTAACATTTCCTAGTTTCCCAAAAGGAACCATAGAATTTTCAGTATCAAGTGCTCAGCGCTTCATATTTAAATCTCAGTGGAAAGATGGTATTTCCAGTAGTCCACTGTATTTATTAGTGTGCTGCCAAGAACTGATTTATTGCTGACTCAGCATAAAATATCCTGTGGGATAATTAAGAAAAATCAAGATTTCTGTTTAGCAGAAAGAGAAAAGTACTTTACTACAGACTATGGGCCAAAGGGTGTATAAAACCTGTAATACAAAGCTCTACTTTAGTTCTGTCAATACCATACAACAAACTTGTGAAAATTAATTTTAGTCGGTTCATTAATTGCACAATGAAGATGATATATGTGCATAAAGCTCCTTACCATGATGAAAAAACAATCTAGAGTTTCTGTGTTATAAGGTTCACTGGACCATTGTCTAGAAACTACAGAGATTAATATTTTACCACATTATTTATAACTAGCATTATATGAAATTAAATGGTGGACCGTAATTCTGATGTGGAATTCAGTGGCAAGAATAATTCTACGTGCAGATTGTTCTATATATAATGCCAAAAAAAGGAAGTTTTCGTAGGAGTCATACAAGCATTCTATCTAAAAAGTATTAAACTTTTGTAATGAGGGGGAAAAAATGAATCCCAAACAATTTCCAGCTAATTTCTGTTCTAAAGTCATCTATACAAAAGAAAAATAAAATTACTGTTTTGACCTTCCATGTTTGCATGTGGAAAACCATCAAAATTAGTATAGAGAAAGGTCATGGCTATCAAGGTTCAAATACGGCTTATATTTTACCTTAAATAAATACTAAACAAATTCCTCAGTCTGCTGAACAATGGAGAGAAGAGAGGAATAGCTCACAAATTGTTCAACACTGCAAATAATTCTTTTCATTGCCTACAGATATGTTTAGATACTTCTGCAGTGAACTTATTTATGTACGGATCTTGGTTTAAGGGCATTATTTTAGATTTCAAAAAGACCCACAGCCAAAATAGCGCCAATTCACATATAAATATCACCTATTCAAAAACCTTCTTCTGGCATGGCCATTTCCATAGACTTCCAGGTCTGTGGAAGAGAATGATGTTGATGAGGAGGATGCTATCTGCCTGACTCTACTGATTTTTAATGAATTTTTTCCTCCACGTGTTTTGACATTCTGAATATAGTAATCTTTGGGAAACAACATTTTTAGGAACCCCAAGGGTGCACACCAAGAAGGGTGAGGTGGGAAATCCTCCTTAGAACATACAACCACGAACCTAAATACTGATTTCATAATTTAACTGAAACAGATGTCTAAAAAAAGGAATATAATGTCGTAAGTATACAATTCCTTGATTTATTTATTTTTTTCCTGAACAAGCAATATGGTTACAGGAAAACTAACAAAAGGACATGTGATACTACCCTACCTCGTTATAAATAACAGGGAAAGTACAGTTGTACTTTACAGAGTTCTTTATTAAAAAGTTGAGTATTACCAGCTATTTACATGGCAAGCAGGTTTTTACAACCCACAAACATTCATATGGCACATTCATTTTAAAATCAAGAAGATCCTTTCCAGACTAAAGACTGTTCTAAGAATGTCAGTGGAGCGAGAAATACAGCCAAGCCATTTTGAAGGCTAAAGAATTTTAATTTTAAGCATTAACAAGCCACTTTAAATTGAAATGCAGGCTGTAGATTAATAACATCAAAAGCATATATATTGTACAGCTGCCAATTTTACAGTAGAAACATAACAAACTATTCAGAAGAAACCAAAGGAATAAGACGGGGGAAATATCTATTTCCAGAGTGACTTTCTTCCGGTCTTTTTGCCTTCTTACCTTCTAATTATACATTGCTTAAGAATATATAAACTTCTTGTGGCCATAGTAAGTGTGGTCATAACACAAGTGATTCCTAGAGAATTTGCCAAATGCCCATTTGGCAAAATCAACTTCCAAATATAATCACTTGCCAAATATATACAATAACATAGTAGTTTCACGTTGCCCCCCCCCCCAAAAAAAAATCAACCCCAAAGGAATTCCTGTGAGCATGGGAACTTGTAATAGAAGGAAATATTTAAGTAGAGAAAAAGGAATCACAATTTCCAAATGTTTCCAGAGCAAACATTTGCTTATATATAATCATGAAAATATATGCATCGAAATGAAGAAAAAGAAAAGAAAAAGAAAAAGTGCAAAAAACAATATAGATGGAAAAAAGAAAAATACTTCCCATCTTCTTTATAGTAGTTACAAGCAAATGTATTAGCTCACCTCCATATCTAAGATTATATTACACAGTTCTCTTCTTCCCAAATTCAACCCTTTTTAATGAGAAAAATTATAAATCACCAATTCATTTTTTTTCCATTTTCAGCCAAAAAATTCCCAAGAGGGTCCGGTCTTTTATAAGTCTACTCTATAAATATTTGTGTAATGTGTATATAAGTGTGTGCACCTACTTGT